ATAAAGATTTAGAAAAACAGGACCGCGTACTGTCACAAATATAAGGTCACCAACGTATTATTCTTTCATTTATTCAAATTTTATGCTCGACGCTTCACATTCACGTTGAAATAATAAGTTTGTTATCTCCCGTCTAGGCAGAATAGTCTCTCGATTTCTCACAGAAAATGTTTGAAGCTGCGTAATCGTGGTTCTTGTATAATTAATGCCTGTCTACCGACGTTATTCTCAGCAAGGAAAACTGTGAGAAAATTTCAAGTTTTTCGTTAATGTGTGCTCGAGTCTTATTTCCAGTGCCGTACATAACATCGATTTTCAACTAAATATTCACTAATTAACTCGCAGCAATTATGTCAATCCAGGGTTAATAATAAATGCGATTTGACTCGATTAGCACATACACTAGCAATTCGTTAAGTTAATTTGTTTTCTTTGTACCACCTATATTATATGTGCGTTCTTTTTAAATTGCCAATTACCTCGCTTCCCTCGTTCTCTTAAAATTGCTGCATAAGAGGAATTTATTTTACAAAAAAGCTAGAAAAAATATATTCTGTTCGAGGTACGTATCACGTACGAACATAACACGATTGCATTTTAACGACTTGCTATTAACTTTTTATCGGTACCCGGACAGTAACAGACATGCAGACGGTCGTAAATAAAAGCGATTCAGCGTGAAGGGACACTTTCATTTCGTACGTGAGTAAACAAAATAAAGATTATAGTTGATTCGGATGTATTTGCACGAAAATGAGGCGCCCATGTATGTGCGTCATGCGGCAAATGGCTGCGGATAAACGCAAAATAACTTTTACGAGTATACATAAATCCATTGTTGTTTGTCTTACACGCCTTACGGCTCTGTTTTGATGGTAACGAGGGCTCTCCTATATTCAGACGGCGGAATATGCTTTTTTCGCGAGTCGCCTCGAAAGATTGATACGTGCGACAATAAAGTTAACACATCACCGATGAGTCACATCACTCTTTATGTCTTTGGACATGTCGGTCAAGATCGTATAAACGAAAAAAGTTTGAGCGAGCTACGGCCTATGCCGAGGGGGTAACCACTAGCTGAAATATTGTCCCACAGATTACATGATTTCATATGATTACAAATAATTTTTTTCACTACTAAGTCATTTGGTAAAATATACGATTTTATTTAATATTATACAATAATTTCTCGTGGTTGCATATGTAATTATCGGATTATAGGTACATAGAGATTTCATATGAATTTTTTATAATGATTTCGAGGACTCTGTTCCACGATTACATTAAGTGGTTACCCTCTCGGCTTATGCAATATTGATTTTTAATTACTGCGATTTTTGTTCACGGGCATTAATATACTCGTGCTTTCATTCATCCGAACTGTAACCACAGATCTGTAAAACATGCTTTTATTCCTGTCCTTGTAATAAATGTTGCTGCCAAATCGCGAAAATCGATTTGGCAGCGGCATTTAATCCTCACTCTCTTTTCTTTTGGCAAATTTCCATGAGCGACATAGGTATAAATAAGATGGAATATGTTATTTTGTTTAACTATTTCATAATATAATATTTTTAAAATAAATCAATTTACTCTCGACTGATTTGAATGAAAATGCACAGAGTCAATAGAAACAAAATTAGATAAATACAAATAACGCGCAATACATCGACTGTGTGTGCATATAGATTTATTACTGTATGACAGTTAAATGTTATTAATCCTAATTAAGAAATTATATGTGACAAATATATTAAATTTTTAACGAAACGATCAATTTTTCTTTACTTTTATCGAATTTTCGAAACCAAATTTTTTCCTCACTGAATTTTAGCATAATGTCCAAATATTATTCGCGCGTTTTTAAAACTTGGAGTATCTTTAAGATGTAGAGATATTTTAATATCGTATCGCGTTTTCATCGTACACCTATAAGTAACAGCGCGTCGCTACAAGGTAGCCGCAATAGACGCGAGCATGAAATTCAATCAAAATCAAAGGGATAAGGTGTATCGGAGCGTGAAAGCAAACGCGCCCGGGTGGCTCTGGTAGATTCCTTGCGGCCGGAAAATGTTTCGCGTTGCGGTGAATCGATCGGGGCGACTTTATTATCGGGAGAGAGAATTTCAGTCAGTTCCCCCGAGACGATTCCTAAGGGTTGTTCCTCCCGTTCCTTATCGGTCGTAGCAACCGCGTACATCATATCCGAAGGCCATCATAACATCCTCCCCGAGCGCATGAATCATTATGAGCGTGCAAAATCGCGGTTATGGATATGAGTAGCGCTATAAGTTGCCTGTCCTTTAATCGATCCTATGGGAACTTCTATGTAATTTCTTATGAGGTCTCTTTGCCAAAAGTATCGGAAGCGCTGACGAAATATTTAAAGAGGATGATCTAGAGACACACTTTGGTCTGTTGGACTAAGGAAGCTTTCGCGGAAATCCACACGAGTAATCCTCCATGCAAGTGCAAAGTGAAAAGTAGTCAAGATAAAACGAAAGTGTGTGTTTGTGTGTGTGTGTGTGTGTGTGTGTGTGTGTGTGTGTGTGTACTCGTACAGGGATTCTCGTAAAACTATTTCAACGATATTATTTCAATTGGGAAATGCGACATAATACAGCTCTTCTGAACTTGTTTTATCACATTCGATATCAATTACAATAAGATAACAAGAGTCTACATATACAAAGCGCTGCGAGAATACACATTGATACGAAATGTTCCGAGAGAATCGTATCAATTACATTTATGCATGAAGTCAACATTACTCTGTTTAACACTGTGCTGATAAATCTGGCTCTCGCTATTCGCACGGGGTATTATCAATATCTTCCATAGTACATCACGATAAAGGACGAAGGAACTGACAGAATGATATCTGAGAAATTAGGGAGTCCCTCTCGGCTCATTTACGGTTCAGAACCTCCTTCGAGGCTGCACGCGTTAGTCACGCACGACGGAGTTCTCTTTAAGGCTTGCGAGCGAACGTTGTTTCTACGTACCCAAGCGAGTCCCAAAGCTCTCGGTCAGGGCTTAATGCGCCTAATGGAACCTCCTGAGTGCCGTTACCAATTTTGCCGCGACTCTCACGATTTAGCGGCGAGCCAGCCAACCAGGACATTATCAAAATTTATTGGTCGGTCAGCCGTTCGCAAACAGTCGCCGCCACCGTCGGAATGTTTTATGATCCCCTTTGTACGCGCGCACATACTTAATTCATCCGCCAGAAAAACTTTGTTATCGTGCTAAAAACTACAGAAAGATATGTCGTAAAAATCCTAAGTTCCAGAATATTAATAAAGGCTGCCGATAAGAGATTTCATTACAAATAAATATTAAAATAGGAAAATAATAAAATATATTTTTCAGTTTGATAATTAATTCGTATTTGATAATTTATTGACTTATTTAGGTTTCATTAGTGTTTCGTCATTTTAAACGGAAATATCAAAAACATTTTTTTTATAGAAAAAGAAAATTTTTAGCAGAATATTTGCATGTTACAACATATTTTAAGGGCGGTATTCATAGTCCGTTCTTATTTCAAAATCGTCTTAAGTAATGTCTTAAGATGCTAATACGGCCTTCTGATTGGTTCACGACTTCTTAAGACTGTACTTAAGACGGTCTTGAATATAAGATCTGACTATGAATACCGGCCTAAGAGTTTAAATTCGAGTTTTTAGATATTATTTTTGGTTGGCTTAACCATAAACTCGTGTGTGCGATCTGTATGATATATTAATTGTAATAAATACCGCGCAAACACTCTGAGAATACTCTTATTATACGAACGGATAAATATTGTCTATTATCTCTTTCTTTGATGGTCGAGACTGTGACGAAAATATTTCAGTCGGAAAGATGCAAATACCACTCGATTAATTCTAAGCTACGGAAACGTTTCAAGCTGCTCAACATTCTTGTATGACAGCAGGTGGTTAAGTGCGCCTACCGTCCTCTATCAGTGCTCTAATCGGAACTGTTCGACTTCCTGGAGTTCCAAGCGAAGTACCTAATTAGGGACGACCTTCGCCGACGCCTGTACGGCCATTTATCACGCATCTCTTCGCTACTATTACTTCGCAGTAAAATTCGCGAGAGGTAGATTTCTCAGATACAGACATTTGAAATTTCTGCTAGTCGTATTATCAAGGATTCTCGAAATTATACTGATCGAAAAGAACGAAATAATCAATTTTTAACAGATAAGTTTCGTTCTAAAAGAGAACTTTACCATTTTTCCTATAAGTATATTTTTTATCAAAAATAAGAGATTTCTTTTAAATTATAAATTTTATTTTTTTAAATTAAAGTTTTGTAATTTTTATAATTAAGCCTAAATGTCTCCTATACTTTTTTACAGACATTATATTACATTTTTATACATTATTAATAAAATAATCATTTAATAAAGGAATTTTCTCGTAATTAAAAAGTCTGATGCGATAGATTATTTTAATTAAAGGAGAAAATGAAACTTAATTCTCTTATCTAACAATAAGATATAAATAGTTAGAACATTATGTATTTATTTCGAACTGCCATTTGTAAAAAGTTAATTTTCAAAAAATTCTTAGGATGTAATAATAACAATAGTAGCAACGACATAATAATCTCAAACAACTGTGTGCGCAATAAACAAGACGAAGAAAGACGGAAGTTTCAGCTGAAAATTTCATTTCGCGGAAACTTGGTCTCGCGGCGGCGAAGCAGAAACTTATTCGACGTGTTGCCTTCCGTAATATTAGAATATATCTCGGGAAGTGGGATCATCATTAATTATCCGTGTGCAAAGTCAACGTTGGCCAGAATCGCGCACGTCAGTAATATATCTAGGTCTTGCTAATCGTGCGATATTGCATCGTCTGTGTATTATTCGTTTCGCGTAAATGATGCGCGCTTAAGCTCAGAATGTTTCTCAAATCAATTCTCCTAACAGTACGATTACTATAAAAATACGAATAATAATGAATCGGGAGATAGATCGAACTTACCGCATCGTTGTGATTCCAGAAAATGTAGGCGGGTGGTTCTGGACTCTGCAAGACGACGCACGTGAGATTGATGGTGCTACCTCGATTGATGAACAGTTCCGGCGCACCTAAAATCTCGGTTTTTGGCTCTGAAAAGTAAAAATGTGTCTTTTTATACGAATAATTTTTTATATCCGATTTATTCTAAACTGTCGCGAATACATTTGTGCTTGACGGGAGAGAGAGAGAGAGAGAGAGAGAGAGAGAGAGAGAGAGAGAGAGAGAGAAGACTGCAGGAACTTTAAAGTACAGATTGTTATATAGCTATTGCTACATATGTAAGGGTGACTTATTATCATGACTATTGCTGGCGGAAGAGAACAGTTAGGTGCTGTAATAAGTTATGGTCGTGTAATTAAATATTACATTACACGGGAGTAAGGGGAAGAAATATTTCGTGTTTTTCTCCTTACGTCGCTGTACGTTTCTCCCTTAGTAAACGAGGGCGCGTAACTCTTGCCTGGATTAAATTCACGAATCCGAGTACGGAATTACGTCTACGCTTAAAATCCTTATTTCATGCAAATGTCAGACAGTTATCGTGGAACACTTCTCAGCGATATGTTATGATTTCTCAGTGCTTCAACCGAGCCGCCTTCTTCACAAGTGTATCGCTGAGGAAGACGCGCGCTCTCTCGACTTTCTTCCGCGTTAAAACTTCAGAATCTGAATACGCGGGATCCGTATCGCGCGTCTCATGACTTTATGTGCGCTTTATGTAAATAACAGATATTTGTCACGTCGCGCTTCGGGGCGACAGTTTACCATGCCAGCGCAGAAGGCAACTTAGCCTCTCGCACGCCGGATTAAATCTAAAGATTTAAAGATGAGATTCCGTCGCAATTCAGAATTTTACGTTTGTTTCATGTAAATGTCTCGACGCGTCTTGTTTTTGCGATTCTCCACGCATTAGCGTATAAAAAGCACAATGACACTGGCTAAGGATAAGGGGTGATGGACTCTGTCTTTCAACGCAAAACGTCGTAGTACTGAATCTTATTATTCATATCACCACAGAGAATCTAGGTACGTGTTTGTAAAACGAAAAGGCAATATTCATTACCGTCAGCCCACTATAAAAACAAAAAAGCTAATTCTCTGTATCATTTTATCTCGAATATTCCACGGAAGAGAATTTATCCCACTTACTATAAACGCCACGTTTGGATAACAAAGTCTATTTTCTGATAGTTTGTATATTTTGTTTGAAGCAAACACCTTTGCCATTGCGATTTAAAAATTATAAACATTACTTAATAATTTATATTGAAATTTAAAAATAGATATGTAGTTTTTTTTAGTAAATCGAAAATATACATAGTAGGTATATTTTTTAATATTTTAGACGTTAAAGTAATATAATCTCGATATATGTATAAGTTTTTGCATATTTGATACGTAGTCTGTTATACGCTATCGGAAAAGATCGCAATAAAGTTGTCGCCCATTTTCTGTCGAAGTTCACATCCGAAATTCAAATTTGGGAATCGAAGCGACAAGATTGCACCGTCATGGCTTAGAACGAGTGACTATCCTTTAACTAGGAAATCGACACACTCGCAACGAGGCTATTGTGAGAAGTTGAATCAGAGGTTCGCATCTATCAGGAGAATTATGCAGAATTACACGCGGTGATCCCAACGAACAGGAATTATCCCCGAAAATCTCCTCTATAGGATGCCTGCTACCCTTTTATATCGCCCTCCGATAATAGCTCGTCAAGATAAATCGGGCCGAGATTACGCGTACGCGCGCGTATGTTGGGAATTTATTTATGATGCCGAAAAATGTCGACTACATCAATATACCTAGGTATTTATAGCTCATATTCCGACGAACGTACGGACAAACGGACGAGCGATCGGTCCGTTTTATATCTTTTTGTGGTGCCGAAGAGTGATGCGGTTGACCTGGCCTCTGTGCTTGCCTTCGAAAGAGCACTTTGAGGCGCTTCGTATATAGAGAGTATCAGGTATCTGTTACTGCGGGCGGTGCACTTGTTCTCGTTACGCGTGCGTGTATGTGCACACGAATGTGTGCAATGTGTATGTGCGCGTGTACGTATTATGGGGGAGAAATAGGAAGAGAGAGAGAGAGAGAGAGAGGTCAGCTGGTAGATCGATGTGAATATTTTCTAGGCGGCCTTCTCGAGGATTGACCGAAATAACCGGGCAGCGTACTTTACGGCTTTTGTGCAACGGATGATATCCGAGAACGACGGTTAACCCCTTCCGAGTGGTTAACGGTACCGAGATAGTTCCTCTGTCTTCGTCCCTACGTTCGCGTTTTCTCTTTCCTTCACCCTGCGAAGTTCTTCTTTCGGGATTTCTCGCTGCAAAATCCGGATTTCGACTTTAAAACCTTCCGACGTTTATTTTTAAGTCTACGGCACTTCGTTATATCTCGCGTCTTTGTCGCCTGTCTTCTTTCCGTGATTTTCTTGTTTCTTCTATTTTCCACCTCTAAGCTCGTTCATTCAATACATGCTTTATGTTTCCATTTATTTTAAAAAATTCTGAAGTGTTGAAATGCGCAATGATATGATACGATGAACTTAATATTTTTATATACTTTTTACTCGTATATTTCATTAACCTAAATTACTTTAATTTAATTACATATGCATGTATCTATATTAATGTTTTAATTAATTTATGTTATTAATTATATTTATCTTTCTACAATTAATGTAATTACTACACCTATCTTATTAAACTTTTCAGCATATCGAAAAAGGATCTTTCAAACTTTTTATGGTAAGTACATACAGTTATTTTGTATGTGTACATTTTCCAAATGTTTTGTTTCCTTGTCAGTGACGTAGTTTATAAGCGGGTTGTGAAAGCGGCGTCTATAAACCGATCGATAGCATCAGTTTATGCGAAACGCTTTAATGGTTAACCTTAGCCAAATGAAAGCCGATCTCGTCAAATGGCGAACCTCCGAGTCTCGGTCAGGCCCTTCAACGAAGAGTTTCCGAAACTCTCGATTCGCTCGCGTACTCATTACGACTTCAGTCCTATTTTAAATAAACGCAAAGGGATTAGTAACGTCGGAACATAAACACCGCTATTTCTCTAACCAACCGTGATCATCATTCGTATTCTTCCAGAGTAGTTCAACGAAACATTAACGCGAGATCATCGTTCACATTTTATGTTCTTTAGCAGATTTTAAAATATTCATTAAATACAACATAATTTAATAAACAGCGTAAATTATTTAGTCTACAATTAATTTTGTCACAATGTCAATCTATATATGATTTATAGACCTAGTTTTTTATTTTATGAATGTAGACTTGTGGTTAGACTTAATCTGATGATGATAATGTAAAAATTATATTTTTCCAGTTAATGATTAAGCACTAAATTGATGGGTTTATAATACGTAACTTACCACTACAAAACCATCAGTTTAGTGATTAATTATAGCTACAAAAATACAATTTTTACATTGTCATCAGGTTAAGTGAGGTCAAGTCTAAACCATAAGTTAACCGGAAAATTAAACTGGGCCATAATGAAAATAAAAATCGATCTTTCTTTGAACAACTGAATGCGATATACAATTTTCCAAATCCATATTAAATACATATGTTTATATATTTATCGTAAACAGAAAAATATCTCCAAATTTCAGTGTGCAGAATATTCCATTTCGATAATAGCATAATACGTAATTTTATGAGAGAAAGAGAGGAAGAGAGAAAGGGAGCAAGAGGCGACGTCCCGCGTAACGCTCTCATTTGAAACTTTATTAAAGAAGTTTGTCACGCGATTTTGCGACACGGGTGCTCAGATGAATAAAAGATGTCGATAGAAGACGGGAGTAAAATGTAAACTAGGATAAGTTGGTCGTCTTGAAGCGTCGTTCAAGAAGCATTCGCGAAGAGCATCGTTTCGAGAAATCGATTTTGTCTTTGCTTTTCGTGCGACGCGTTTCGGAATTGACGCATTTTGAATCCGAATTAATGTAATAGCATTTCATAATTCTAATGAATAAATGCGAACAGAATTCTAAAATTGCAGAAAAGCTGTAATGTATCAGAAAGAATCAACTCTATTCTACCTGTATAGACTACAAAAGATTAATTACGTAAATTAGATTAATTAAATTATGATTGCATGTGTTTTTAATAAAAATATCCAAAACTGTTCTAGCAAAGAATATTTCAATAAATTTAAATTGAGTATTGTATTGATGGAGATAAGCTTTAAAGTTTCTTTAATAATTACTAATTGTAAGGGAAGGAAAAATGTGATTGAAAGTACAATACTATAGTGAGATATCAAATAAAAAAATTAATACTCTCTCTCTTTATGGAATCATTGAAATCCAAGGATTAGTAGAAAACTTATACAAACTCAAATGAACTTGTTTGTATAAAAGAAACAGCAATTTATGTGTGGAAAAGCAGACTTTCCCTGACATCTTCTTTTTCTTTAAAATGAATGGGTTTTTTCATCTTCTCGAAAATTTGATCTTGCATTTAGCAATGTATTTCTAAGACACGTTGGATCACAGGAATCCGTAAGACCTTTATCCGCTCTCTCGATTTACCTATTACGATCGATCGATCCGATCGAATACGTCGCCGATCGAATACACGTACATACACACACATACACACACACACACACACACACACACACACACACACACACACACACACACACACACACACACACACGTACGTCAGTTGTATGTGAGAGCTTCGCATTCAGAATCCGTATTTGTCGAGCGCGTAGAATACACTCGGTCTCGATGCTTGACCTAAATAAAGCACAATCGTGAATGCGCCCGTTCCTTCCTGCTGCGGTTTCAGCTAGGTGCAAACTGCATCCGGTCAGTTCGATTCAGTCGATCTAGTTCAGTTTACATCTCGGTCTTAGAAAACGCGCGATAACAAATGGCTGCACTGTCCGTTGCATCGATTCAATCCTGTACTTTTCTCATCGCATTCACTTTATATATTTTCAACTAACAAAAAGCGAATTTGAGATAAATGCAATCAAATGTGATTTACGCATTTACATGTTTATGTATAGATCCTCTTCCTCTTTTTCTCCTCTGATTAATAATCTTA